TAATATAAAAAATTAAAATTAAAGCATTTCTGTTTATTTAATTTTTATACAGTGACAAACAATAAATTATATTACTTTTTAACTTTATTATTTATCACACCAATATTGTTATTTAATTAATTTTTAAATAAAAATAAAAAATAAACAAATTTTAAATAAATAAATTAAAATTGATTATTTATTTAAAAATTAATAAAATTTATATTATTAAATAAAATTTTTCAAATTTTATATTATTATTTGTGCCTTTTGTTTCGTAATTAATCCACCTAAATCTTTCCTCTCAGGAAAAGAAAGTATTTACAAATGCAAAAGAAAATTTATTGCTCATTCCACATGGAGGACATGTTGGATTAGAGTTGAGACAAAAAAGAGAGATAAAGGTTAGGCTCTCCGACTAGGGAGCGGACAAATGCAAAAAGTTGGTGATCGAAACTGTGCTTTATTTTGTAGTTAAAGTGCCTTTCCCCGGCTGCGTACATCCTTCTTGTTCGATTCCACTAAACACTGACTTGTCCTCTTCTCTTTGCCACTCCGCACGCGCTAAGGAGCGATTCACGTGGCTTTTTCTTACTTGATATCGGGGTAGTGTTTAATAAGATAAGGAAAATTTTGAGATAAATGAAGCATGCATTTAAATATAAAAATTATCACATCAACATTTAAGTATAAAAAATTGTAACACATGTAGAAAAACAATTGTTTAACTTATGTGACCGGATCAGTGGCGGAGTCAGGGGGTGCGAGAGGGGGCGCTCGCTCCCCCTAAAATTTGAAAATTTTACAAATTGGTATATAAAAAATTATCTAACTCTCTTTGAACTTTGAAAATTTTAATATTTTTCCTCCCTCGAAAAAAATTTCTGCCTCCGCCCCTGGACCGGACAGATATCACTTTTTTTCTTTGAGGGTTTATATGAGAATGAAAAAAGTTTAGAGATTTAACATTGAGTTTTACCTTTTTCTAATGACCGGACACGTTGTCACTTAATTGTTGATATAAAATTTTGTTAGGGAAATTAAAGAAATTCTGATAAATATTTCTAGGTTAGATTGGAATAAGATAAAGTTTTTAAATTAAAGTGACAATAAAGAAATAGTTAATAGATTATAAATTAAATTTAACGGGGTGAGAAACAAATATCTACTTGTCTAGTTAAAAAAGAAAAAAAAAAATAAGGCTACTGATAGAGTGGACTTGATGAAATCAACATTCAATTTGCTTCACTAAAATGGAGTGGTGCAAATTTGGATATGCTATGATCTTCATATCAGTACTACTCCAACCCGTGCAGAACTTGAACAATGGAGTCCTTGGCATGTTTTTGTCTTTTAGTTTTCTCTCTTGCGTGGTATCAATTATTCTGAATTGAGAAGAGAAAATAAGGAAATATGTGGTTGATAGAAGGTTGGGAAAGCTAATGGAATTTTAACCAATAAACTATTTTGATATGTTTCTTCAAGTTCTAGACTTGTTTAGAAAAAAAAAAAAAAACTTTTTAAACCAAAATAATAGTAAGTAATAATTAATATATGGCACTAAGCATTATATTTAGTGGAGGAAAAAAGGATATGGTTATAGCCACCATTACTAACATTATGTTTATTTAATTTTGTAAAATATTATTTTTAAAAATATTTAAAAATATTAATTATATTTATTTTAATTAATAAACATTATTTATTTTATTAATTATTAATTATTAATAATTATTTTTATCAATTAAATTAAATAAAATTAATATTTTTAAAAATAAATTTTTATAAAATTTAGTAGTCATAACATTAATAATGGTGGTGATATCTTGCTCGAAGAAGAAACATTTAAGAAAATGTTATCTTATTAAATTATTTTTAATAAATTTAATTTGACTTTTTAACTTTTAAAATATAAATTTTATTTAAAAATTTAACAAGTTATATGAATAATAATTAAAATTTTTTATAAAGTTCTTATT